TCCTGAAGACCACAGCAGGCACCTCAGAGCTGAGCGAGCCCAGTTCCACAGGCGCTGTGATCTGGTTGGGATTTATAGGGATCCTCTCACGAGAAACCAATCAACACAATAGGAAATCAGGCATCCTTCCCCGGCCAGGCCTCTTGTCCTGGTCAGGGATGGTCCTGGAATTAAGATGGCTTCAACCGTCAGGAGCCTCACGCACGAAGGAGGAGCTCAAGTCCAGACTGGAGGCTCAGGCTCGTCAGTATGGATCGACCGGGAGCGATCTGGGGTCGGACCAGAGAGCATTTAACTGCCCCCAGGACTGAAAGCCCCCCCCCCAGCAATGCTGGTCCCCAGCTGTACAACTGGTTGGACTGGTGCAGCTGCAGTAAAGTACCTCACTTAACAGGTACAACAGAGTCGGACCCACAACCTGTGGGCCATGAGTCCAAAAAGCTTGCCCACGATGCTACGCCTCCCTCATATATAATTAATGAAGCACATAAGTGAAAAAATTCAGAAACCTTAAAGGTAAATTGTAAAGTTTTTAACATGCTACTCCAGGCTATGTAACTCTTGGATTCCCGCTGCATTTTTAAATGCGAGTTGTCTCAGACAGAAGCCTGGGTTAATTGCACTGATCAGCGCTATGGCCCCTTGCTGATATGCAAACAAACATACCTCGTGTCTGAGCCTGGCACAGCCCCCAGAGTCTGAGACAGTGTACACCCACCCCCCCAGAGGAAGAAAACACGGCTGCTCGAGGCCAAAAGGCTCAGTCCGCGGTCTTTCTGCTTGAGCTGTCATCACCTGATGACCACCCATCACCTACCTGCCACTTCTTCCTGCTAAGGGGTGCAGCAACCTGGGACGTATACCAGAGGCACAGGGCTCTGGGCAGGACAACCATCTCAGTGGGAGGCCAGGCCATTGCATGGCACTCACACGCACACGCACATGCATGTACACACGCATGGGTAACTGAGAGTTAACCCAGCCAGCATATCTGGCAAATGGGCAGATACCAGAGCTCCTGCTCCAAACCGGGAGAGAACATGCAGACTCCGCACGGATGGATCATCCTTGTCTCGAATTACAGATCCCATAGTCTGCTACTCCAAACACATGTACCATGGGTTTCCAGGACTTAGGCAGGTGCAAAATGAAGGAAACAGCCCAGGGGTGGGGGGGGGGGGGCAGATTTCGTCCCGGTAGACCCACAATTCCTCCCTCCTCACCTCTCTCCCCTTTCTCTCCCTTGTCCCCGTCTTTCCCGTCCTTGCCATCCTTGCCCGGGAAGCCCATCCTCCCGATGGTTCCTGTGACCCCTGGAGCTCCGGGCACGCCGGGGGGCCCCGGGGGCCCGGGCAGGCTGCAGGCCAGCTGGGAGGAGTCGATGGTGAGCACCTTGCTCTTCCTGCTGGCCGTGCTCACGATCTGATGGGCTGCTAAGGGCAGCAGGCAGGCCAGCACGACGGGGCACAGCATCGTGGGAGCTGCGGCAGGAGACGGGCAAGTCACTGAAACACACAGAACGGTCTCGGCGCAAGCAACAGATCACAGCAAGCACACTGACCGGCCGGCGCTGCTCCTGTGCTGCCCCCTGCTGCTTATTCCTGAGAACTAGCTCAAGGAAGTTCTGTGCTCAGTTTGCTAAATGAACGAGATTGTTTTGTGTCCTGCTTTGCTGGACAAATGCGCACAGATCTCTCCCTCTCACACACCCAGGACGATTCACTCGCGCTGAAAGATGAAGAGATGGCCGAGCTCAGCCGCTTGCTCCCAGAGTTCTCCAGGAGGGGGTTACGCTCTGAGAAGTGACGTGATGCTACAGGCATTTTAAAGACACATTGTTCAAATAACACAAGACGTCATTCCGAACAGAGCGGGCGCTCTGTAAATTGAAAATACAACGTGTCTCTCGGCAGAGCAGGAAATAATATAAATAAATGCATGAAACGCTTTATAGGCGATTCTCTAAGCAAAGAGTTGTGGGACCGTGTTGTTGAAGTTGGCATCGTGGCTTCTTTCAAGAAACACACCGTTTAGACACCCTGATGAACTATTTAGCCATAAGTACAGTATGTGGGTTACAACTACAACACCCGAATGAGTTATGTGTGCTAAATGCCGAAAACATACCGCTTCCTAGCAAATATTTGCTAGGAAATATATTCTACGCACGTTCCGTAGAATACAATGTTCAATTCGAGCGGATCTGTCGAACACACTCGAGTCCGTGAAGACAGGGATGCTCCATGCGATATTACCCTGTGGAGTTTCAAAAGAAAGCTCTTCTTCACGTCCCGCGCGGAGCCCAAGTGTGAGCTTGGTTGCACTGAGGCGCAACGTTAAGTGTGCAAAAAATAAAACCCTTTTAGTACGAAACAGAACATGAGCAGAAAAGACCTTGCATGAACGTTCCGCTTGTGAAAGTCAAAACTAAGCTGCGTCCTGAAGCTGGAGACCAATAGGCTACATACCTCACCAGTCCTGTCCACAGATTATACAACAGCGCGGGACTGCGGCGGAGCGGTCAACCTTTTAACCTGGTTAAGTTGTTAGTTGTTGCAGCTCTGAATTAAAAAAATAAATAAGATGAGGATCCTTGCGGGCTAGAGGCAAGCCTGCAAGCCCTGAAACCGTTTTGGAGAAAGCAAAGCCCGGGCGCCCCTTTTACGCATAGACAGGGAGGGGAGAGAGGCGCTCTCGTTCCTACGGGTCCGGTTCTGCAAAGCACAAATGTTAAACGCCAACCTCCGAATAGCAACCCTAACCCCTCTCCTGGCTTTTTTTTTATATTATTATAATTACGTTGCCTTCTTGCCAGCAAATACTTTCAACATTATGCAACAGCTCAGTGCTGTTCCGAGCCTTTAGGGGATTGGAAATTATGATTGTAGAATAGAAACCGCATGTACTGGTAAAGGGAACAATATCCGAGTTAAGAATGCCTCAGTTTTATCATTAAAACGCCCATCTGCGATTTAGCGTATTATTATTATTATCCCATCTATTTAAGTCAGTGTCTCTGCGCGTAGCTAGATCCAGCCAAATTGAATACAAGACGATGGAAATCGTGTCATCTACGATTTTTGTTTAAAACTCACAAATATATTTATTTCAAATCGTCGGTGATGACCTTGTTCTACACACATTTTGGACACGCTCAGTTTGATCGAAACGATCGTCCTTGACGATGGACGACAAGGACACCTCACTGGCAGCGTGTAAACGCGACCTCATGGACCCAAATCCGGAGTTCACACCCGGAAACTACCCGAGCTGTCGTTTCTGGTGGGTAAGAATAAATAACACTGGGGTAAAAAGAGAAGCAACTGCGAAGGGACATCGCCAAACCCAGAAAGCTGGAATTAATTGACTCAGCTGGAAAGAGAAATTCACCAGATGTCTGTCAAGAGGTTCGCAGGGCTTTCGGAAACCTAGCCAAGGAAAGATTTAGGGGAACAAAAACATCTGGAGGAAAAAAAACGTCTTCTATTCTGAGAACCAGTCTTAAACACGTCTTAGACAAAGACGAGAGAGTTCCATTTTAAGCTTCGTTTTCTATAGATGCAACTTCGCCCACACCGAAAAGGGGCTCCTGTGTTACAGTGGACTGTCACGCTGGACTGAGCACCATCCGTACTCCAGCTCAGGCGACCAGGCTGCCCTCTCGGCCTGGCAGACAGCGGTGACGTGGCGGGCTCCGGGCTCGGGAGCGGCAGGCCGGCGCTGAGCGGCAGAACCGCGCGTCTCCGCCGGGTCCGCAGGTGCGAGTGAGCGGAAGCGCAGGTGCGCGCCGCCCTGTGTGTAACGCGCTTGCACAAGGGGGGGGGGGAAGGCCCCGTGTCGCTTACTGACCATCGCTTTCCGCCCGGGAAAGCAACCCGCGTCAGAGAGCTGATCATCATAAATGCAGCCGTCCTTGTTCCGCCTCACTTCTGCGAAGTTCACTTATTTTACTCTCTGGTGTCACGGCCGCTTCAAGAGACAGGCCGCGCTCTCCCGCTAGAAATGCACTCTTAGCTAAACGTTTTACAAAAAATAAAAGTTTAATAACCACACAAGCAAAAACAACACATCGTAAACAACATGCTTTAATTCCATTTGGTAAGATGACCTGTGAGATAACAGTTTTTTTGGGGGGAAATAAAAGCATCCAAGTGTCCAGTCGAAGCGCGGTATCTCCTGGCACACGCGCGATTTACAAATGGCAGGCGGGTACAGAGAGAAAAATCGGAGAAGACCAGATCCGGCTCGCTCCTTCTCCGCCTCGTCTCCGGGGACACTGGAGGAAATGGGAGCGAGTATCCCCGAGCCAGCAAGAAACCGGAGCAGCCCGGCCGACAGCGTGCTGCGAGGTCACGTCTGCCTCCGCGAAAGTCAGAAGAATCGGTCGCTTGGTGACCGGCTGGGAGAAAGGCACCCTCCGGCCCAGCTTCCAAGATGGGGGCTGGGACCCGCGGGCGTCCTCGCCTTGCCCCCCCTGCCTCACTGTCCGAGGAAGGAGGCCATGGGGTCGTCGGGCCTGTACCTCTTCATGCGGAAGGCCTCCATCTCCTCCTCCGTGGGCTCGCGCACCTCCTTCAGGCTGTTGTAGGGCCTCTTGCGCTCGTCCAGCTGCAGCAGCTCGTCCACCTGCTTCAGCCGGGCCTCTTCCGCGCTGAGAGCCTGCAACGAGCCCAGCGCAGGGTGAGGCCGGGGGACCTCCACGGGTATATCTTACCTATTCGTGGGAGAGGCTTGTTCTGCCAGCAGCCATATTACCCTGCAGCTCACAGCTGGCAGCCCCACTGAAGCCCAGCAGGTGTGAGCCTGGTCAGTACCTGGATGGAACACCTCCTGGGGAAGCTAAGGTTGCTGCTGCTGGAAGAAGTGTTAGTGGGGCCAGCAGGGGGCGCTCACCCTGCGGGCTGAGTGGGTACTAATGCCCCAGTATAGTGAGGGGGACACTATTCTGTAAAAAGGCCCCAGATGAGATGTAAAACTGAGATCCTGACTCTCTGTCATTAAAAATCCCAGGGTGTTTCTTGAAAGAAATAGGGGTGTTACCCCAGTGTCCTGACCAAATTTCCCCCGACCTTTACCAATCATGGCCTCCTAATAATCCCCCTCTATGAATTGGCTTCATTTCTCTGTTCTCCTCCCCACTGATAGCTGGTGTGTGGTGAGCGTTCTGGCGCACTATGGCCGTCACATCATCCAGGTGGGGCTGCACATTAGTGGTGGTGGAGGGGAGTCCCCATTACCTGTAAAGCGCTTTGAGTGGAGTGTCCAGAAAAGCACTATACAAGTGTAAGGAATGATCTATTAATTCTGCCTTGCTTTCAGTCGATTAATCCCCTAAAAGAATACTACAGACGCAGTGGCAAAGCATTCTCGAACGGGCTGCAACAGGCCATTCAGGCCCTCTGGCTGGTACTCACTCAGCTAGAACACAGCAAACAATCAGAACTTGTCAAAAAAGTAATTCAAGTTATTTGTATTTTCTATATGACCCCTCCCCCCCCATCTCTGTTCCTGTGTGTGAGAGGGCATATAGAAAGTTTGTTTGTCTGTCATTTGTTTTCTTTTGCATTACATGTGCAAAGGGGAATATTGTCAAAAGTTATACGTGTCAATCTAACCCAAGTAGATAAAGTGATGAGCCTTAATGTGGACGTCACTCCGGTCCTGACTTCTGCTAGCAGGATGGAGGAATTCTTCAAGCCAGCGGTGCAGAGTGAGCAAGCACACCACTGGGCAGAGAAACACCCATAAGAGAATGCCTGAGCGTTTGAGAACAGCAGAGACTCGAGCCAAAAACACAGACTGATCACCTAAATGGGCACAAGTCTCAGAATAGGTTGGACAAAACTCCATTTTAGCCCACGTGGAGGCAGTGTCTGTAACTTCAAAGTGATTGCATTACACCCAGAAAACTGAATGACAGCAACAACACGATTAACCAGGGGAACCCAGTGCAGGTCCTGCAGACCTATACATCTGCCGGATTGGATTCTAACCCAGCCCTCAGTTAAGAACTCTAAATTCAATTAATAGTAAGACTCATTTGAGCTGTCTGACCATTTCCAAACAATAGCCTCCTGTCAGTTTAATTAAGGATTCAAATGGGTAAAGAAGCTGGGCTGCAGTGAAAACCAGCAGGTATGTGGCCTCCAGGACCAGCACTGGGAATAAACACTCGTGCCGATGTGTACGATGGCACGTTGTGACCCAGGTGAGCAGAAGCAGTAAGCAGCATGTGGGCATGCATATAAGGGTGCACACACAGACGACGCTACACCTCTCGAGAGAGATGAGGGCCCGGGGCTGATGTTCATCACGGAGCCCAACAACATTTGTGCTCGTCTCCCAGAAGTCACACAGGACAGCCCCCACCCCAACACCAACACTCCCCCCTCCAACACTCGTACCCTTTTCAGCTTCTCCTTCTTCGTCGCCTCATCGTCCTCGTCACTGCTGTCCGAGTCCTTCTTCTTGTGCTTCTTCTTCTTTTTCTTCTTCTTCATCATCTTCTCTTGGTGCATCTGTGGGACAGCCAGAATGACAGCGACTTCAGCTCATGACTGAAACTGGATTAAGCCCCCGAGCTAACACAGCAGAAACAAGGTTCGTTCCAGCTCTGATCTGGGAAGGCTGCTTTGCCGAGACTGACCTCCAATAATGACTTGGGCTCCTCCTGCTGCTGACTCATCTCCTCCTCAAACGGCACGCAGGCAGGGTTGGTCTGGAAAAAGACAGGTGCACACAGGTCAGCGAAAACTGTGCTGTCAAACAGTCAAAGGGTACTCACATGTTCTTCCTTGTTCTCATCACTTTATTCAATAAGGGGTCACAGGGGAGCTGGAGCCTATTCCCAGTATGCAATGGGTTAAAGGCAGGATACACCCTGGACAGGACTCCAGTCCATCACAGGGCCACACGGACACACACATCAGGGCCAGTTTTCCCAAATGCCAATGAACCTAGCAGTCTGTCTTTGGACCGGGAGGAAACCAGAGCAAACAGAGAAAACTATACACAGATAGCACCCCAGGAATTGAATCCAGGACCCCGGCGCTGTGAGGCAGCAATGCTCACCTCTGCGGCCCCACTTGCATGTTCTCATTTCTTTATTATTTGAAATGATCAGAAGCATCACAACCCACCCTTCTCTCTTGTTCTGTGCTTTGTGAAATTGGGTACAACTTATAAAAAAGATATCACTGCTCTCCAAATCGATCCAGAGAAGATACATTCTGAAGCTTAAAGGAATGCCATGCACTGACAGGCATGGCTGAACCTTTTTAGTCATAGATTGTAGAATTAAAAATCTGCAAGGATACTGACCAAGCCAGCCCAGAGATATCTCCTGCATGAACAGTGAAACAGAAACCAAAAGATACAAGAGGAAAACTAACATTTGACTGACATTTTCTCAAGTGCAGACAGAACTCATCCGCTGCAGCAACAACAGTATTATTCAGACCAACTGTTGTTGCAGGTTACATGATGTACACATACGAAATACAGAGGTGTTTTGTAATAAAGGAATGGTGCTGCTGCACTGTACTCACATTACTCTGTACGCCAGCTTCCCCGGTGCAATAGGACTGCTTGATGAAGGAGTAGCAGCACTTGTAGCCCCACCTGCCCTCTTTCCAGTAGGACCCCCAGATACACTGAAAGACAACAGCAGCCTGAAAAGTTCACCCACGCCATGTCTTTAATGTGACTCACGGCCCATAGGTCTTTCAGCTTGAGGGAGGCTCTTCCAGGTCCAGCCACTTCCAGTTTAGACGGAGAAACCAATCTGAATCACTGGGGAAACTGCTCCGAGCGGATCACAGAAACCACCTGGGCCTCAGCTGCAACTCCTTAAGTCAGCTCCAGCCCCAATCGTTTAACATGCTAGAGAACAGCCTGGCACTGCAGTGAAAGAGATCCCAGATGCCAACGTGAAGTGAACAGAACACTTCCTCAGCTTGAGGCTCTTGGAAATAATTGTCATTCACCCTGGTGGCGTCTTGATCTGGAACAGACAAGGGAATGACTGTGCTTCACATGAGGAAGACGACTAAAAAACACCAGTGACTGCGAACGGCGGGGATAGGCGTGACTCACAGTGTGGTTGTTGATGAGCACGTCCTCCTCGTACTTGGAGCGCGCCACAGCCTTCTCCTGGCCCTTGATCACGGCGCCGTGCCGGGAGTACTCCATGTAGTCCTCCGTCTGTGCCAGCAGCAGCTCCTGGGGCGGCGCATCCAGGTGCTCCTCTCCGCCGTACTGCGCAGAGGAACAAACTCTCGTTGCTGCTTGTATTCTCATGCAACGCCGGGCGGGCCTGACGCCGCGCACAGGGGGCGCTTTCCAGCCGTGAGGCACAAATACTAGGCGCAGCACGAAATCAAGGCCCCAGACAAGGACAGGTTTGTGTCTGCTCTCCTAAGTACTGGGGCTTTTGTCTGCATGCATCTTCATTTTTCTCTTGGTTAACGGGACAGGGCTCCGTAGCACATGAGGAATTTGCATAACTGAGCCTCAGGACTATAGAAGACCCAGCGACCATGGGTGGAGAAATGCTGCTTGGCTGAAACAGCTGTTTTTTAACCCCCAAATTATCAGTGACTTACCCATGCTCACCCTGATACTAACTTCTCCATCAGCGCTTAGTTGTGATTTACACTAGAAAGTTCTTTTTACTACAACATGAGTTTGGGTTTGTGATGTTAAGCCCCTACAAAACACAACTTTTAAGTTGAGTTCCTTTTCTGCAGGGTTGTTCAGGGTGAGAAAAACTGTGTGATGGCAGCCAAGGCAGTTCCTGTGCGCCAGTCCCGGATGGACTCCGCGGTTCGGCACGCGGATGTGAAAGAGTGGCTGTTCCAAAGCACCGTACCTTCTCCAGGATGCTCTCTTTCTGCTGGTTTTTGAAATCCTCCTTCTTCACCTTGAAGGACTGGTGCAGCAGCTCCAGCTTCGTGGGGTCGGCCTGCAGGTGAACCTCGGAGCCCTTCTCGTAGGCCTCCCAGGCAAACACTGCCGCGGGGAGAGAGAGGACAGCAGCACGTCAGCCCCATGCACAAGCTGTGCCCAGATCTTCCACCCTGCAACTCCTCAACACCCAGGGCACTGCTGCACCAGGTGGAAACAACACTCCCACTGCAGGGCGGTTCAATACACTCCAGATCTTACCGGCTGCAAACACTAACACAGAACTCAGCACCAGGTTCTGGATAGGCCCATTACTTTACTTAGAGTGAAAAACAACCGATGAAAGAGTAGCTCAAACAATATTATGATATGCATAAAGACGTTTTTTTATTCAGTGCAATAGTCTGCACCTCATATGATCAAATTTTATTTGCGGCAAAGATCTTATTCTATTTCTGGCACTATAAACACCACAGTACAAATTAGGCTCCAATGTCTTGATCAGCAGTTTTTGGGTAGGAATCTAATTTATTATCTGCCGAAAGGAACACTGCATCAGCACAGCAGGGCTGAGGAAATACTCACACTGCGTCTGGGCCATGGTTATGGTGTCCCCTGTGTAGCGCACAAAGTTATCGCCAGCATAGCCCACTCTGCAAAAATCAAGAACGGACACCTTGAAGGTTTTGCAGGACATAGAAACACGCCAGAGAAAAGATCTGTGGCTTACTGCACGGGTAAACCGTGTCTAATTCGCTGGTTAATGAGCAGAGTGTAACAAAAACCTGGAATAAAATGTGCCCTGAAAGGATGCAGTCTCACACGGAGAGATGAAGCACTGCACTCACTCTTCTGGGTTCATCCCAGTGTTTGCATAAGGGTTCTCCCTCATGGCTCGGGTCTTGGGGTCGTAGTATGCAGAGTTGGGGTCCAGATTTCTCAAGTACTGGGAAAAGAAAGCAAAACCAATTAGCAACAGGGTAATTGCTAATTGTAACAATTGTAACAATTTAATTGACATCATCCATCCATCTTCTAACCACTTTATCCATTTCAGGATTGCGGGAGAGCCTGAGCCTATTGCATTGGGCGCAAGGCGTGGTACACCCTGGATGGGACGCCCATCCATCACAGGGTCTCACCAGGGTCAGTTTTCCCACAAGCCAGTTAACCTACCAGCATGTCCTCGGACTGTGGGAGGAAACCGACTGGAACACAGGGATAACATACAAACTACAGGTCTGTAACTGAACCCGGGGCCCCAGTGCTATGAGGCAGCAATGCTAAGCACTGTCATAAACTGACATCATTTAAAAACATGGAAAGGTAAATTTGTGTAGCATTAACATCATCTTAAGATGCTGACACCCTTTGTAAAACTGTACCCTTAAGATTTCTGTATTGAATGTATTCATCTGCATTGAATTACTTTAACTCATTACACAAGCATGGCTAGCCAACTGTGACTCCTCCAGCTGCTATTCATTCAGTAAAAAAAAAATAAATATATATGACACACACAAATATTTACATGGACGAAGGATCAAACAGCATCTCGACCCATACAGTGACATTTCCCGTTTTAAATCCAGGGAAAAGTAGTCACCTTGGCGATGTCTTCTCGGATGCGCAGGTTCCTGACGGTGATCCGTCTCTTGGAGTCGAAGTTCTGGCCCGGCATGTCGATATCATCAGCGTACTTGTCCTCATCTTCATCTTCGCTATTGTGCTCCCTCTCCTGCAGAGAAGCCAAGGCCAAATTCCCCCTTTGTCCACACAACACCACAGTATTGCCCGCAGGCATGGCGAGACAGGCATCACAGTTTACAGCACCGCTTAACAGCTAAGACATGTTGAGACAACGTCAAACCCCAAGTTTAAACACTGAGAGGCAAACTGCATGTAATAAATTCAAATCACACCCTTAAATAATATATATATATATTTAATACTACTGCAACAAGATTTATTCTCCTTCCAATTAGTTTCTCCAAGGGTGGAACACAGCACAAGCTAACGTTAATATTCATTATAAAGCACGTATACTGCTAAGTGTCCACCTGTAGTTATTTAAAAGTCAGATCTCCATATTAAAACATCAGTTTCTGTGCAGTGCCTCCCCCCATTTGCAACATAAAGAGAAGCCAAGGCTTTTTCTGAAGAACAGTTTCTTTGGTTGATTGAATTAAACCATCTTACTGTCTGCGAATTGTGTTCATCCTCTCCCCACTGCTTTCTGGATGAGCTCTGCAGTAAGGAGAGCATGATTGATCAACATGCATGGGGAAAGCAAACTCGTTCAACAGGCTTGTCAGCAAACGCATTCAACCTTGGGAAAGTCCAGCACTAACTCTCCATGCATGCTCAGCTGTCACACTACAGAAAACAGACTGAGGCATGTTGGTGCATTGACAGCAGAGACAAACAATCCAGTCTAACAAAACTCACAATCAGAAATCATTCAGGAAGAAAGGCTTCGCAATCAGCATGAACATGAAAACACAACACTCGCTAAAGCATGTTTTATATTGGCCAGTGAGACCTGTTACTTTCATGAATGGTTTTGGAATGTAGGCTTTTTTGTTATATATTTTTAAGAGAAAGTCAAATAATCCAGACAAGAAAACATCTGATTATTCCAAAGCGGGTTTTAAAATGCATGACTATTATGTGCGCCTTTGCAGGGACATCACACGCACACCATTCAATTAACGGTAAGGGCAACATGCAGGGCAGAAACAATGGCATTCATCTGTTGTACTCAATTTAACTCTAACGCCTTAAGCAGGTTTCCCAGCTTTTTTCAGGAGCTTCTTAAAATGAAAGTGAACAAACATACCGCTTGATCCACAAGTTTCCCCGAAGCCAGCTCTTCCTGTAGCTTCTGTGCTTTCAGAGTGCGTTTAGCCTATGCGAATAATGGAATAAAAAAATCCAAGTCAGCTGAAAGCAACCAACAGGAGAACCACTTTTAGACACTAAACATCTGCACAGCCAGGCAATTCACAGGAGCGTAGCAACAAAGACATTGCAGCTATTATTTTATTGACATGCTCCTCAATTTGGCTGCCAACTGTTCCCTCGTTAATTAACCCCGCTGATAAGACATCAGCTTGAAACTTGCAACTTGGAAATCACTAAAATGCTCAAAACTGCTATGCAGTAGGCATCGCTTTCTTGAGTCCCCGGGGCTACAAGTGTGAAACCGTCTATCTGTTAACGTACACAGAACAGACACACAAGTCTGGCGATTTGCAAGTCTTTGTTCTGGAAAACCCTTATGAAGCTTATTACAACTGGAATTAAAAAGGAAAATAAAACATAATTAGGCAACAAAAATCAGAAACTGACTGTGAAATTATCCTTAGCACAAAATGCCTAATTGGTATACTCATGTTTTCAAAAAAGCACCGGATAACCGGGAGCATAATTAAAATATGTATATATTTAAAAATGCTCACAGCATCAGACTGAGGCGTAGAGGGGTGTACATATTTTTACAGATGCACGTGGTGTCAGGCAGAGGTGTAGAGGCGTTGTACATATTTTTAAAGATACACACTGTGACAGAGAAGTAAAGAGGTATAGAGAGTTAGATCCATGTTCACACGGTGACAGACAGAGGTATAGAGAGTTAGATCCATGTGTACCATGTGTCAGACAGAGGTATAGCGGTATAAAGAGTTAGATCCATGTTTACATGGTGTCAGACAGAGGTATAGCAGTATAGAGAGTTAGATCCATGTTTACATGGTGTCAGACAGAGGTACAGCAGTATAAAGAGTTAGATCCATGTTTACATGGTGTCAGACAGAGGTACAGCAGTATAGAGAGTTAGATCCATGTTTACATGGTGTCAGACAGAGGTACAGCCGTATAAAGAGTTAGATCCATGTTTACACAGTGTCAGAAGTGTACTCACCAGATCCACCTTGGAGTACTCCTCCACGATGCGCATGTGCTCCTCAGGGTCGTACCCGTTCCAGCGGTCCCGCTTCCCGTCGTAGTCCAGGGACAGCTGCACCTGGCTGTGCTCATCCTGCGCGATGTCGGTGCCCGTGAACTTGGCTCCCACCTTCCTGGGCCGCTGGGGAGACGGGGCGCAAAGACAACCCGTTTGATCGTTTGGACAGCGGCGCGGCCATTTTCTTCTGCCTCGCTCTGACTAGCCACCCGGCGACGGAGGCCAGCTCGGGAAGGCTCAGGAAGGAGAAACAGACGGCGAAAGAAAACGAAACAGCCAACTATCTTTCCCCCCGACCAGGACCATGGAATATTGGTTCCCACTTACCTCCAAGCAATCCTTCTTCTTGTGCGTCATCGCCCCACAGTTCTCGCATGCCCCTTTCCGATACTTCGTGGTAACAGGTTTCTAGGCCAAAAGAAAAAACACTCACAAATGCTGTATACCATCCCTCACACAGCAAAAACATTTTTCAGTCTTGTGATAATAAATGGCCTGACTGAAGATTACAAGACAAGTAGTGCTTGAGCAGTAAAATGTTCTAATAGACCATTTTGTTTCAGCTTAACAAGCCAAGCGTCCCAATTCTGTACTTTTCTTTGCCTAATGCCTAAGACATCAGTTATAAACACTACATTTATCATTCCCCAGAAATTCTCTCTTTTGCCACTCCCTTAAATGTGATAGTTCTGCCCCCCTTCATTTTTATAAGGCTTGGCACCTCAGTAGCTGTCTGAACTATTATCGCCCTACTCCCCACCTCGCAACCTTCGCTCTTCTAATTCTGCTCTCCTAACTGTCCCCCAAGCCCGTCTACACTCTAGGGGTGGCAGGGCCTTCTCCTGTTATGCCCCGAGGCTCTGGAACTGTCTCCCCAAGGATATCAGAGAGTTACCTTCTCTGAACTCCTTCAAATCCAGGCTCAAAACCCTCTTCTTCAGAAAAGCCTTTACTGAACTGGTTGCATTCTTCACCCCTCTGCTTTTCTTAGTACCACCATCCACGGTCTCCTCTATATATTGTAATTGTGTTTCATCTTGTGTATTCTTCTTATTTATTGTTGTTGTCATCCTGTAAAGCGCTTTGAGAAACCACCTTTAAAGGCGCTACATAAAATAACGTTTATTATTATTATTTTTTTTTTAATGTGACTTTTCAGAAAACAGTGAATCACATTCTCGCCTGGGGCAAATACCTACGGGAAAGAAGGCTCGTGTGATTTGAGGGGATGGGCTACCTACAGAGCAGCACCCCAGCGCCGCGCTGAGCACTCACCTCCTGCACGCCCCGCTTGTACCAGTCCCCGATGGCCGTGTACTGCGGCTGCTTCTCCTCCTGTGGCCTCTGGTGCCTGAGGGTCGGCCTCTTGGAGGGGTCGATGTACCAAGGCACGGAGGAGATGTACTGAGGAATGTGCGGGTTGATGTCCCTAGAAAAAGAATGAAAGGTCAGCAATTTCATTTAGACCAACGTTGCAAACCTGTAATGGTGCGACGCGATGCTCAAGAGCCGTGTCTTGATCACATATATGCTAAGTATAAAAATTTCACAAAGATGGCAGAGGATACCAAAGCCATGGGCTGGAGATGTGAAGATCTTTGTTCTAAAAAAAAAACACCTGGAAAGTTACTAGAACTGGTATCAAGAAGGAAAAGGCAACATATCTAAGCAATGGAAGTCACGAACTTCCACTGACTATCCTCTGCACAAAACCCCTCATCGGTATTTTGTAGGTTAGTATCAGCAGGGGCATATGTAATGAATTCATATTTAAAGTTAAACAGGTTTACAGCCAGCCAATCTGGTCCTGGAGGGCTGGTGTGTTGTAGGTTGTCATTCTAATTTAGTGTTTAAGAGCTAAGCCAGGAACCATCTGGTTTAACTAGACTAATTTCACAGCATCTCCCAGCTCTTCTTGAGCTGCGGATATAAAGAGCCCTTAGCTTACACACAAAATCCTACAGCATGCATCTTGCGGCACCCCCTCAAAAAAAACTCTTGTTCTCCTGTCGCTTGGCTTTCCCCAAAGGATGCCCAGCAGCACATCAATGCTTTTGGATTTCGGCTCCAAATTTCCACCCTTTATTTGACAGTTTGTAAGGTTTTGGCCTGCGTGACGTACTTCCCCTCTTCGTCCACCTCGGCTGGGGCATTTCCCAGCTTCCTCTGCTCCTCTAGCTCCTTCTTCTTCCTCCAGTCCTCCCTGGTCATCTTCTTGGGCTCCTCCAGCCCCACCACCCCCTCGGTCCCTGCTGACATGGCTCTTCTGTTTCAGCGCCACCTGCAGGAGGAGGGTGGGAGACACTGGATTATTCAATTCAATTCAACCTTTCAAGTCCCACTGGGGAAATTAGTTTTACCCCACACTCCAACATAACACAAGGACAGACAAAATTTTACCAACCAAGAAGTTGTGGTTGTTACGGCAAGACAGTTACGATATTAGATATTTCAGTGGGGTTGAAAGATTTCCTGTGTCTATGAGTATTACAACTGGGGACACAATCCATAATACACTTTGCTTTCTTTGCATTACAAAGCATTTCTTTGCACGCTTTGCTTGTAGAGGATATGTGAGGTGAGCTGATTTCCTCCAATTAATTTGCTATTTATTTGGACTAGGCTGGGAAAACTATTACAATCAATGGTACTCATTTCAACACTAGCAAGTGAGATAGTATGCCAAGACACTTTTAATAAAAGACTTGTAGAAATTGTTAGGATGGTCCTATCTATCTAGAAATTTCTTAGTTTTTCTTAGCAAACGTCTTTGTTGTACTTTTTATAAACGGTTTCACAGCATTTGTCCCAACTCAGGTTCTTGTCTATGACCACCCCCAGTACTTGTTAGTCAGTGACGATTCCTGCAGTCTGACCATTAATTACTGTAGGTTGGAGAGATGTTGCATTATTCTGAAAATCAATGACCAGCTCCTTTCGTTTTGACAACATTTAAGTGCAAACTCGTTACACCATTTAGTACAGTCATTTAGAACGGGTCCATAATGGTTTTCTGAGTCCCCTAATAACCCGACCAGGACTTTATCGATGAGATATGTATTTGTGCGTTTGCTTTTACAATCGTTAGTATACAAAATATACAGAAGTTCAAGTAGGTAGCTGTGTCAGCATACGTAGACTTCAAAGGAACGGGTACAGGTTTATTCCTGGTAAAAAGAGACAACGTTTCGGCTGTGGATCTTTTACCAGCTGTAACAAAACACAGCCGTGTAGAAATATAGCAAATGTCAGATAACCAGTTCCCCAATTTGACCTACTGAGTCCCGTGAACGAAGTCGCAGAGCGAGAGAGATGATCATTTCCTTTGCAGTATTCGAAGAGAAAGGGAGGGGACTTGGGAGATGAACAAGAGGCCGAGAAAGACAAATACAGAAACAGACTGTTCATAAACCAGTCTCCTCTCCGTCTTCTGGGCAGAAACTGGAGAAGCTCCGAGGTTTGAAACCAGCTACTTCCCCGGCTAACAGGGGGAAACACGTGTTCTGTAGCGATACCGGAATTTAACAGTTACAGGAAAGTTCTCTTCGAATACTGCAAAACAAACGACGTACTTCCAAATGCCATAGATTTACATTAAATTCACAAGCGTTCATCCATAACAAACTGGCCTTCCGTCTACAGCTACACAACCGTTGTGCGTAAACGACCTGGGGAAGCGCATTCAAATGAAACACATGACGTTATGACGCGAAAACCGCGTAAAACATGACGTTTAAGATACATAATAAGTAGAAATATGTCTTACCGAACTCGACTGAAAATATTTTGAGGTCAGTTTATCGTCTCCTAGTGTCGTATTTACAGTCCACCGCACAACGCCGCCATATTCCCAGAATACCCTGCGCGCTGACGTCATTCAAAGGGGGGGGGTCTGCGTGGTGGTGCTTTAAAGTTTGTTCAACAGTAACACAAAAATTTACATTTTTAATTTTTTTAATTAAATTCTATAAATACTCCTACACTTATCGTGAAAATCTGTATTTGACTTATTCTATTTTTAATGTCTTAATGGCAAAATCTGCAAATGAAGCACCTATAGTGCTGGAGGATTTAAACTAAACCGTAGTGATAATGTTAGTAATACCCGCAACTTTATTGGTAACTTTAATACTGTTTCCGGCGGCTTCGCCACCATCGGTGTGCTATCAGAATGCCCACTGGCCTCCTTGCGTTGATTTTAACTTTAAGAGATGAAACCCGAGTGAGATCCGCCGGCTGTTTAAAACCGCTCATCCGACGGTTACCAAACTGTTGCGTCACTAAGGGCTCCCGGTCCCCCGGTTTCGCTGTCTGGAAAGAGCCGACAACACTTTACTCCCGTCTTAACTGCTCGTTTGACTCAATTAAAGTTATACCATAGTTCTTGAATGTTTACATCTTTCCTGCAAATGCTTGTCAAATAAATACTTCTACTCTGCTCTTTTCACCACTACGTTGTTATTACAGGTTCATAATTACTGCCCAGTGATTTAGAATTTTAAAAATAAATGTAGTGATTTTTATACTGTCCGCAACCCAGCTGTTAATGGATCTGAGGACCATTCCGCTATTCAAGCGGGTCCTGATTTACACGGTGATTTAAGAAATTATTTCCTGCGCCAGTCGATAAAAGTGATAAAGCAGTGTGTCGCACCAGGAATTACACCGGTAGGAGAACAGTCGGCTGGGCGATGATGAACTGCACTGGAGCCAATAGCCCGGGCGTCTACCCCTCCGTCAGGTTTCACTAAGATGACAAGCGGAGGCGCTGGCTTGCACCGAGCAAGTTGTGTGAAAGCAATACAAAAGCGGCGATATGAAAACAGCCTCAGTCGGTCGCGTTACACACCCGGTCCGCAAGGGGGCGGTGCGGACAGTCGTCACTTCCTCGAAACAGCTGCATCCTCGTGCTCCCCGGAGAGCCAATGGGAGCGCGGATTATTGTTTAAAACGAGAGCCCACGGAGAGTGGCGCTTGTGTGGTGAAGCTTTGAATTTAGTACGCTGGTAAGTAACGCAGTGGGGAGGAGGGGGGTTTAAAAATGTTCTCTGTAATGAAATCGAAACGTTTTTGCAGTATTGGAGCAAAAAATAAAGCTGCAATACGTCCTTATGAGGCGGGTAGTAGCAAAGGTATAGTTTTATAGATATAGTCCACAGCCGAAACGTCGAGTTTCCTTTCTTCCCTGTTAAGCGTGGAATAAACATTTAACTTGTTCCTTTGCCGCGTACGCATGGTGACGTACGCAGCTACATTCTTGAACTACATAAGATTCGTTTTTTTTTTATCCATTACCCCACGTGGGACGTTCTTTTGGAATCGCTTGTTTTAAGTGTCCTACCTGTTAATACTCGTCTTGTTGTTGTGCACTACAGATTCGTTTTTTTTTCTTTTCTTCAGAGATGTCCCTGGCGATTTATACCGACAAGGAAAACGGCTCCCTCTCGACGCCCGCTCCCGCGAAGAACCGGGTGAGGCTACAGTCTGCTCCAGGTGAGACCCCCGCTCCGCTGTCGGGCCCTCCCGTGTTATTCATTGCGCATCGATTTCGATTGATAGACTACGAGGGTAACTAATTAGAAGAAGGGTACTTGGTTTCAGAGCGTCGCTACGGCGATAT